GCGTGTGTGTGTGTGTGTGTGTGTAACACACACGAAAGGCAGTGCAGTGCAGCAGCTGGAAGCAGACTCTGGAGCCAGCCCTGCCCTGAACAACTGTGTGACTCTACGCAAGTGACTCAGGTTCTCTGTGCCTCAGTGAAGCATTTCCTACCCCACAGGAACCATGATTAGATGAGTGTTCACAGAGGCCTAGAACAGTGCCTGACACAGTGAGCATGAAAGAGGTGATGACAGTGTGTTAAAAACATTAGTTGCTACCCTACATTCAAGAAAGATGCCTTCAACTGAAATAAATGGAAAACACTTCCTGGTGTCATAACTTCACATAAGCCTTCCTGCCCAATAAAAAAAATTCTAGGTCTCTTCATTCTGAGAAAACATCAAATGAGCGTGTTACATAAGCTAGAGGCAGAGGCCAGCACTGAGCTCCTGTTTCTTACGTAAGATCTAATGTCCTAAGGGACCCAGAGCGGGCAGAGTAACCAGGGAGGAAGCGACTGCAGGCACTGGCTGGTCCTGCTCTCAGAATGAACCCACCGTCGGGGGTTCCCGCGGTGGCAGGCTCAGAGGCCCCGCTCGGGGTGCTGAGAGCCTCGCTGCTCAGCCCTTCCTTCTGCGCAGCTTCTGGGACCACAACAGCCAGCGACGCTCGTTTCCTGCACGAGGCGGCCGTCTCTGCTGAGGGCGCGAGGGCGGGAGGGGTCCAGCGAGGCACAGATGTGATGCCCTCATCTTCTAGCTGACGGAGGTAGTACTCAATTATCTCCTTTCCCTTTAGACAAACCAATTTGAAGGTGAGTATATATGCAACATTCCAGTTTCTCATCCCTCACAGGTTTTTGTAACACTAATAAAACCTGAACTGTGGAATAAATAGGGGAAAGTCAAATGCTTGTGTGTTTTTGTTTTTTTATTTCACTTCCTCCTCTCCAAAGGTCTAGGAAATACTACCTGGAAAGAGAATCTTGATGACTGACTAAAAGCACTGCTTTACCACACTTGCACTCGATATGTGCTGGGTCTCAATCCAAACTCTTTCCAAAGCCCCCAAAATAAAACAAGCCTTCAAAAAGCACTCATAATCCCAAGCAGAGACGTTTCAAACCCAAAATCCCACAACAACCACAGGAGCAGCAGCAGCAGCAGGAGGAAAGCTCTCCCATGGCAGATGGGCAGCCGAGCCGAGGCTGGGCCCGAGTGGGTTGCCTGTATGCGCCTCCTCCCAAAGCAGCGCCTTCAGCAGCAGGTCCTGAGCAGGCACCTCGGGCTGCCGCTGTAAGCGAGTGGCTCCTGCCTCACCCCAACTGTCACCTTCCCGGCAAGTCCAAGCCAAGAACCCATGGCCCTGGCCTGTGGCTACACGCTCCTCCTCACCTCATTGGCAACCAGCATTCTCTGAACCCGAACCTAAGCCTTCTGCTCCCTGGGATCTAAGGCACGGGAGAAGGTCAGAGCAGTTCCCCTCGTAGAAATGGCTGGGATCCCTGCCTACCCCATCCCCAGCCTCCCAGAAAGACCACCAGCTGCAACTGTCCCAGGGACACCTGACCATCCTTTCCCATAAAATCCTAAGATAGACTCACTTTCTTAATGTTGCTGGTATATTGTTTCATTGCAATTTTCTCCACTGTACTTTCAAAACCAAAGAACGATTTAATATCTAAACTTGCAGACTGTTCAAAACAAGTCCAATCTTCATTTTCGGGGTGAACCTGCAGATAAATGAGAAAACAGTCCATTAACTCACTGACAACCAAGAATATGATCTGCTCCGTCCACTGGTCACAAGACACATACTTTACTGATAATATGATCACCAAATGGAAACACTACAAAGAGGTTCAAAGTCAGGAAAAGAGCAAAATAAGATTTCTAAAATATTTTATGAATTACTTTACAATGAAAGCGTCACTGTCATTCTTGGTTCACTCATTTATTCGCCGTATTTACTGAGCAGCGTTCTCTGTGGTAAACAAGACAAAGATCCCTGGCTTCTGAAGCTGACAGTCTCACAGAAGAAGAAAGACAATTGGCCACAACGTAACAGGCAAGAAACTATCACTGCTGGAGAATAAGTGTTATGGGGAAAGAAAAGATGGAACAGGGTTGAAACTGGCGGGGTGCAGGCTGCAGAGTTACACGGGGTGTTCGGGGCTCTTCGTCAAGGGGAGATCTGAGCAAGGATGAAGGAGGTGGGGGCGGGAGCCAAGCAGAGGACTGGGGCAGAAGCTCCTGGCAGAGGGAGCACCTGGGGCGAAGGTCCCCAGGGAGCACGCCTATGTGACCAGGACAGCCAGAGGTGCGGGCTTGTACACAAGGCAGGCCGGCTGGCAGAGGTATGACCTCTGAGTGCAATGCGGAGCCACTGCTGGCTCTGAGACAGAGACATGGTCTGACACAGTCGGGGGATCGCTCAGGACTCAGTGTGGATATTCTGCAGGAGGGTTAGGGAGAAGCAGAGACCTGGGAAGTTATTCTAACAATCTGGTAGGAGAAGTTCTGGAAACGCTGGTAAGAGTGCAGCTGTAGGCAGATTAATGCTCTCGGCACCCTGCTCAGAGGTCACGGTTTCGTGGGTCCTTCAATACGTCTCTAAAGTGTGCGCAGGGGCCAGCAACGCAGCAGCACAGTGAAGCAATCTTCACTCATAGCTCAAGGCACCACTTGGCCGCCTCCACTCTGAGTAAACCACGCCTGCTGCCTGCTGCCCCGCTGCGGGAAGATGAGTGAGTGTCTGACGAAGAAGCCCCCAGATTCAGTGCGCGGCGTGGAGCGAGGCAGGGGTGCTCGCCGACGGCGGTACTCACGGTGTAGCAGCAGTGCTCCTTAATGATGACCCGATTCGCAAACGTCTCGTTATGAGCCTCAATGTGCAAAGTACGTTCCCGAGAATTCAGTGAGTTCTTCTGGATGAAATAAACATAGTCAACTCCTGCGATCTTTAAAAAAGAAAGAGAAAGGACGTATTAGTACCACCTGACTGCAGGAGCAGCCGTATGCAGGGTTTTCTTTGGCTGGGCGCCTCCTCGGGCCTGGGTCACCTACCTTTTTCAGCAGCCTGGGTGCGTCTATGTCCAGCTTGCAGCGTCTTTCTATGACGTGAATTGCCCCGTCCTCACTCCGGAACTCATTCACAGTGTCACTGTCCACAAACATCGGGATCAGTGGACACGTAGGAAACCTCCTTTCGTAGGCCTGGGGACAGTGGGGAAAAGAGGAACTGACAGTTTCTCACGGACATTCTCCCATGTAAAAGCATCTCTTACGCCTCCATCTTCACACCCTCAGCTTCCACTAAGAAAGAGGGACTATCCGTTTTCTCTGGTCAGGGACTGGATGCTCAGCACAGTGAAGAGGCCAGTTCTCCCCATGTGGATACAGAGGTTTCACATAAGTCCATCCAAATCCCAGCTAGGCTGTTATTTGTAACAGCTAGGGTTATTTTAAAATTTATATGGAAAGGCGAAAAAGCTAGAACAATTCTGAAAAGGAGTGAACTGGGAGGAATCGCTGTGTCCGGTACTCAGGCTCACTCTACAAGCCACAGCGAGGCAGACCGTGCGGAGCTCAGAGACACTCGCAGACCAGTGGGCAGCGCGGAGTTATACACGGACTCTGACAAAGGTGCAGAAGCCATTCAAGGGCGGAAGAATAGCCCCTTCAACAGCAGGGGTGGGGAGGAGGGAACTCGGCCATGTGACTAGAGGCACCTTTCTAGAAACTTCACGTGAGAATCAGTACACAATGGTCTCGAGGGGGTTGCAAAACCCATGTGGAGACAATTATACTTATTTTCACAATGTTTTTACTATGGGAGTTGAACTCCCTTCCTCCACTCAAACAGTATACTCTGGATCCCATGACTGCTATAACCTGGATAAATCAAACAATATCTGTCTCTTAATGCATTTTATAATAAACAACATTTAAGAAGTTTATTCAGTTGCTCAGATCGCACCACGGATAAGTCTCCATGAGGCCCTCAGACGCAGGAGTGCGCAGCACTGCGCAGGAGGACGATCACAGGGAAAACTCTGACTAGCGTTTGTCCTGACACCGAACACTGAAAACTGCCTAAACGGACTTCTCAATTGTACCACATAAAACCCTGACTTTTACATTCCAGCACTATGACGCACTAAGAAACTGAGAGTACAGGGCTTCAAACAAAACAATTCTTTCTAAGTTACACAAGGACAAGCAAGCACTTACCAAAAAACAACCTCAGCTAGGCTCTCTCCTATCTAAGTACCTACTGGATCATTTTCAAAATACCCACAACATCCTTTAAATCCCCAAAAGACAGAGAGCACAGGCATCACTCACACAGCCTAGCCCTGAATCCAAAACACAGTAAAAACTTTCCATTCCCTGCAGATGGAGCCGTCCCTGTAGACTCACATTCACGGACACTCGCTTCTGCCTTGGCTGCCCCAACCAGGTGGCACCTAAGGTATGCAGGCTACTGAGCAATTGGCCCAGGGAACCAGCAAGTTTCTCTCCAAAACTCTGTGAGTATAAAAGGTGGTCAGCAAGCCGCTGCATTCCTCCCGCTTGCTCCTGTGCCTGCCACCAGGGGCATTATCCAGAGTCCTGTATCCCCAGGAGAACAAGGACCTTCCCCGAGGCCTGAAACAAGAATGCTGTTCTTAACATCTGTTGGAATATGGCGTAAAAGGTTACTAAGTAAACCATGAACCAGCCTGCTTCTGCGCTCACGCTCACTTGCCGCGCTGTCTTTCAGAGACCTGTAGGGCTAATGAATTCCGCACACTGTCAGCACAGAAAACCCTCCCTTCCTAGAGAGCTATGGAAAAGGAAGGCTGTGCAGAGCTGACCTCACTCTAATCTTTGAAATCCTTATCGGTACCACTCCCCTCGATTTCCAGCAGGCACTACAATGTATGAAGTTTCTGCAGCCTCTGAAAACAGAAACATCCCAATCATATTAGAAACATTAATACACATTCCGGCTCTTTCCATAGGAAGGACCAAGGCGCAGCACCACCTCAGCAGCATCCAGATCTTGGTTTCTGAATACCACTCTCTACTAAGAAGGACCCTCTTGGAGAAACGGCTGATTACAAGTCTGGAGCAAGGAAAGGTCGAGGGGAGCCTGAAGTGTCTGTTACCAGAAAACGACATGTCCAAGGCCACAGGAACCAACCTGAATGGGGCTCCACTCACCAATTCTGGGATAATTCAAGCACCAGAGAGAAAAAAGGTGGTAAAGCCCTACAAACCATAGTGATACTCCAGGAAAATGGGCGGGAGGAGGTTTTGCAGAAACTGTTCCCTAATGGCCACACAAAGGAGCAACAGAACCGGGAAGTCACTGTTCACAAGTGGTCCAGACAAGGGTCAGCTACGGCTGCTGCTGAACTGAACGGTGGCTATGGAGGAGACGCCACCATTTCCAATCACCACCCTGCATATTATGACAAAGGGGCAGTTACAAAGGGACACAGGTGCCTCTATAATGGAAAGATCTAGCAGACATCACCTTCATCAAACGGCAGGCTTTAGGACAACTGACAGCCTGATGTGAGGTCACGGGACCACACACAACCGATGTCCTCACAGCAAAAGTGAGGAGATAATCAGACAAATCCAGGTTACGGAACATTCCGCAAAACAACCAGCTGGGGCTCTCAGAAAAGAGTGTCAGTATCTCGGAGATGAACTAAAAGCAGGAACGGTCTAGAATGAAGGCAGTGAAGGCAACAGAGCTAGCAAATGAGATGCTGCACGGCTCTTGCGGCGAAATAAAAATCACCACAAAGAACGTTCACAGAGATGCGAGCGTGCGTCACACAGTGAATAGTTTAGTCTATTGGTGTGAAACTTCTTGGGTGTGGCAATGACTTATCCAGGAGAGAGTTATGATAACAGCAGGTTACTTTCAAATGGTTCTGCAAAGAAATGGGGTGTGTGTGGGTGTGTGTGTGTGAGAGAGAGAGAAAGAGAGAGAGAGAGAGAGAGAAAGCAATGTGGTAATTCAACTGGCATGTAGACAGGAGCTCACTCCGTCAACTTTTTATAAATAGAAATTTCTCAAAATAAAAAGTTGGGGAAAATGTTAAGAAAAGGTAACCCAGGGGAGGGGGGAAGTCCACACATAAACTAATTAACTGATTAAATATGACACTGTCACATTTTATACATGAAAATTTATACAGATTTTAGTTTCACGAAGCTCTGAGACCAAGGGGGCCAGCCAGGTGTGCCGTTCAGCAGGGACCTGCACCTTCTCGCAGGGCCACCTGCCAGCCAGCTCACTGTAGCTCTGAGGAGGTGCCAGCCAAGAGTCCAAGCTTCTGGGTTTTCAAGAGAAGCCAGCAACCTGGGTTTTTAGGTGAAGCTTCCCTATTTTGCAAACTCTGTTTGGGCCACAGAGCGCACATCAGCAGGCCTCGCAATTTTACCTCTGCGCTGAGAACTCTCTAAAAGAGGAGCCCATGTTCAACTCGCACAGGATCCAATCACAGCATCAGGAGATAATTTCCAAACGTCTTCTCATTTTTCACAAACTATCTGCAGTGTTATCACGTCATTTCCTAATCATGCTCAACATTTATGAAATCAAGAAAAGGCCAAACACAATGAACTCGCCCAGGAGTGATTTGGTCAGCGGGGAAATGTTCTTTGCTTGGAGTCATTTGCTCAGTCTCTCTCTGCAGCACAGCGAGTGTCTCAACAGTAAGAACGAGACTAGGGCTCCCCACCTGCGCAGAGAGGAGAGCGGCCTTCTGGGTAACTCGCTTCCTCCCACCTTCCTTCGCCCACTCTTCCTCTTTCAAAAGGGATCTCTGAACCGGCAATTTGGAAGCTTGGCAACAGTGCCTTCAGTTTTTTGCCAACCTTTGCATGTAACTTTGACATTAAAAGCTTGTACTGTGCGAAAAAAACCCATCTTTTAGCAAAGACATTTCAACTTCAGAATTACTGAGCTTAATACGCATCCTGCCAGGAAAACCCATTTAGAAGTAGTTCCATTTAAAGAACCTACCTTTAAACTGAACTATGTTCACATCAATTTAGCCAACAAGCTAAGCCAGCTGCTTTCCATATAACCACCCGGAGAGTCTAGGGCACTAGACATGACCATCAACTCACTTATAAGCCACTCTGGCTTTGCTCTGGGAAATCAGTACATGAAAAGCTAGCAATGCCTTCAGTCTCTCTTACAAGTTGCCAGTGGCTCAAAGAAACAATACAACATATCAAGAAAATGTGGCAAGTTGACAAAAGTCTCAGTTAAAATTCTGTAATTTGTTTTGTATTTTAAATTAAGTAATACATGCACATGACCAAGACAATCATAATTTATGAAAAAAACACACAAGAAAAAACAACACACTTCTGGCATCAGTAAATTTGTTAAAAAAAAAAAAAAAAGAGCGGCCTCTGTCTGGGCTCACAGCAATCCTAAAGCTAATTTAAGAGTAACCATTAGTTAATTTTCTCAAGGACAGCTTACTGAGGTGGCTCAAAGGCTCTTTGAAGAGATTCTGGTGGCAAAGGGACCACCATCAGGCCACACACACATCCCTGCCTCTGGAAGCCCTACCCCACACCCCACAGGCAAGCTCCCTTCCTGTACAACTCTCTCTACTCATCCCTCCCCTCTCTTGGATCCAAAATTCACAGATCTAGTTTTGTTTTCTGCTGGAATATAACTTTAGTAACTGCTTTTCTTTTCTGACAGTCTGAAAAGTATCCATTTATTTTCTAGTTTACAAATATTAATACAGATTTTAAAATAAATTATAGATTTTACTCAATTCTAACAGATCCAAAATCTTAGAAATGAAATCTACAGAATGAAAAAGTATTACCTTTTTTTAAAAGCCAATGTTTTCTGCTGCAATATATATAAATAAATCATGGTATATCCAGCCAATGGAACGTTCGTTAGCGATACAACATAACGAACTATGTATTCATGCACACATGAATGAATCCAAAATAACTATGGTGAATCGGAGAGACTAGGCAAAGAGAAAGAGAGGACGTATGATTCTATTTCGGTAAAATTCTAAGACAAACTAACGTATAGTAAGAGAAATCACTGGTTGCCTACAGGTGGAGGTGTATTAGGAGTAGGTAGAAGAAAGTACAATGGGGCAGAAAGAACTTTTGGGGTGGCCCTGGCCAGTGTGGCTCAGTGGTTAGAGCGTCGGCCTGCATACCAA